TGCCTCCTGTGCTGTCTCACTTTCTTGAAAGATTTCCATTTTGATTCCATCAATTCCTGGTGCCTTGTTCTTTGCTAATTCCTTCAATGCACCTTTGACTTCTTCCTTCAGTATCATTGGCTCTTGATCATATGTTATCAGAGTCTTATAACTTCTACCAAATGACTGGGTGGGACTATGCAAATGAGGTGCTTGTGGTTCATGAAAGGAATTGGATGCCTTGCTAATAATGTAAATAAGGTGCACTGCACCCTTGTGGTGGTGGCGGTGGTGGTGTGCTGTGGAGTTGGTTCCGAATCCGAGTGACCCTGAATAGGATTCCGAATCTGTAAACCTTTACTAGAGTAGAAAGCCTCATCTTCCATGGAATGGCTGGTAGTTTTGATCTGCTGACCTTGAGGTGAACAGCCTGACTCGTAACCACAATGCTACCAGAGCTCCTCCTTGTGAAAGTTGTTGTTGTTGTTAGGAGCCATCAAGTTGGTACAGATTCATAGCAATCTTATGCACAGCAGAACGAAACACTGCCCGATCCTGGACTAACCTCACTACTGTTACCACGCTTGAGTCCATTGTTGCTGCCAATTGGCCAATCCATTTCGTTGGGGGTCTTCCTCTTTTTCTCTGACCCTCCACCTTACTAACCATGATATCCTTCTCCAGCGACTGGTCCCTCCTGACACTATGTCTGAAGTATGAGAGACGAAGTTTGGCCATCTTGGTAAATAAAGCATATGGATTTCTAGTGAGGAGATGGATCAGTTTTGTCATCCTGCCAGGTCTAAAATGAGCCATCCAGAGATTGACAGGAAGCAGCATCTTTACCACCAAGAAGAGATGGGAGCAGTGTCTCCTTCAGACCCAGAATTCCTGCACTAAGAATGTGTTAGTTAGAGGGACTATCCCACAGAAGACAGAGAGAGAAAGAGCTGCAACATCAGAGATGGTGTGAGATGGTGAGAGTGTGAGAGCCAGTAAGAAGCAGTGGCAGAGAAACAGCAGCAACAGATAGCAGGACCAGGAGACTGGCTGGAGATGGTGTCGTGGGCGTCTGATCCATAGGGTAAGACAGTTGAGAGCCTTTGGGCAGGAGGCTTGCTGGCACAGTGGAGTGCCTCTGAGCACTCATGGGTGCAACTAAAGAGTTCTATCACATTTGTCCAAGCAAGGCAGTGGCCAAGCCTGCCTAAAGGGCCAAGGGACTGAGAGTGAAGGCTGTGGGCATGTCCGAGAAGCTATTCTAACTAAAGAACTGCATTCTGAGTTGTTCCTGATCTTTGAATTGTAACCTGTTACTTCCTTAATAAACCCTGTAATTGTGAATATGGGTCTTGACTTCCGTGTCCATTGCAATGAATTATGGAAATGAGAATGCTGTGGCAGGGACAACTGAAGTCAGAACTGGCTTTAAAAAAAGTTGGTGAGTGAAGGAAGGTTTGTCTGACCTCTGCTTCATAGGATTTAGCTTTGCACTGATGTGATGGTGAGTCTCTCTTCCCCTACGTGAAATCAGATGAGGAGGTCTTACCACGCAGCCAGCAGGCCCTTATGACACATGTGGATGGTACAGTGGTCCTCACTCCCTTGTCCTGCAGAGACTCTTGAGTCTCTGTGTGTCAAGAGGTTTTCACCATGATTCTCCGGTCCTTTAGTCACTACCATGTGACCAAGGCACACGTGATCAGTGCCAAGGGAAGATACCATATCTCAAAATGATCAGCTTGACAGGACTCAGCCAATTTAACAGGATAGTCATTCAATTTATACTAATTTCTAATCTGCTCAACCTACAGTAGACCTTTGCCATCCTCCCTACAGCAACCCTCCACTAGAGAGGAAACACTGAAGAAGAGCAGTTTCAGCAGGGGTCAAGTAGGGGCCAGTAGGTTCAAGTGGAAGTGGTGAGTTTGGTTCTGGAACCGTGGAATCTGATCTACAGACACCCACTGGTGTGTTTGTAGATGGTGATTTAGAACTAAGGGGAGATGTGGGCTGCAGATACTGATCTGAGTCATCAGTATTTATATACTACTTGAAACCATGGGCACAGAGGGAAATACTGAGGGGTGCACATGAAGTGAGGTGAGATGAAGGTTTGAGAGAGAACCTTAGGGCCAGGAGGCGGCTTGTGCCAGCTGGTATTGACTGATACTGGCTTACAAGCGCTGATGATGAACACCCCTTTCCAATTGTACATTCAATGATGTCACATTGACAGCCTGAAACCTGCCATGGTGGAAGGGTTTACACCACAGGAATTACAAACCAGGACTTGTTTCCCCCAGGTGGCCAGTGGGTAAATACCAACACATATGGCAGTGGTGATTCCAGGATTTAATGAGAGGGGAATTGGCAGAGGCCTCTGTGAGGAGGAAGGGAAGAAGGAGATGAGATGAGAAAACCCTAAAATCACAATGAAGGAGAGAGTCACATGCAGCAAGCAAGTCTATGCAGGTGAAGTCTAAGGATCCCCAAGTGTTTTCACTAATGGGGGAGCTGGACTGAGGAGGCAAGGGATATGGGAGTCAGGTGTGTCAGGATGGGAAGGCAAGGGAGGGGAGGACCATGTCCACTCCTTGGCATGCCTGGCTCAGGACAAGAGAACTGTATCTTGGGATTCTGTTTTCCAGGCTGCTTCTCCATCCAAGGTCCAGGGTCAGTGAGCGGCCCAGAGCAGGGCTCACTGACCGTACAGTGCCACTATAAAGCAAAGTGGGAGACCTACAAAAAGTGGTGGTGTCAAGGAAAAGTCTGGGAATTCTGCCAGATCCTCATTCAGAGCACAGGATCAGAGCAAGAAGTGAAGGAAGGTCGGATTTCTATCAGGGACAATCACAAGGACCACATCTTCATGGTGACCATGGATAAACTCAGCAGTGATGACACCGACACATACTGGTGTGGGATTCAGAAACCAGGAATTGACCTGGGATTTCAAGTGAAAGTGACTGTTGTCTCAGGTAGGAAGTTTCTCATCTGAAAGGGCAGGGGTGGTTTGACAGCCATTCACAAACCTCTAACCTGAAGCCAATAACCTGTGACCAAATTTACCTGTGTCTAGAAAAATCACCTCTGACATCACCAAGCAACCTGTCCTCCAATCCATTAGTCATTTCCTCCACCTCTTACATCAGGTGAGTTCTGTGGTTCCTCTCTCCTGACCCTAGCTGGGAATCCTCTTATAAGGAAACCAAAGGTGTGAACTCCTTCTGTCACTGTATCCATTGTAACTACAAATTGGGGTGCTTATAAGCACAGAAATGTCTGGTTTCACAATTCTGAAGGCTGAGCATCTGAAATTGGTGTGTGGCCATGTGAAGTGCTCCTGAGGAGGAGTCTATCCCACCCTCTCTCCTACATTCTGGTGACAGCCTGTGACCCTTGGCATGCCTTGGCTTGAAGGTGCATCACTCTGGTCTCTACCTCTGACTTCACATGACTCTCTTTCTGTTCTCTCTTTGTCCCGCCTTCTCTTTTAAAAGGACATCACTCATTGGATGAGGACCCACCTTAGTCCAGTATGGTGTCATGCTAACTGATAACATCTTTAAAGACCTTATTTCTAAACAAGCTCATGCTCACAGGTACTAGAGTTTAGGACTTCAACATATTTTAGGGGGGCAGCACACTCCATCCTAACCATCCATAGCCTGATATGACCTGCATATCCCACCAGGGTCTGGTATAGCTCAAGTCAAGGTCCCAAACCCAAGCATCTGTCTCCCCCTGTCCCTTATTGACCCTCATCCACAGTCATTCAACTTGAGGCCACAGTAGACTCCCTCTTTGGGAAACTCTTCTCGATATGGTGTTATTGTTAAGTGCCATCAAGTTGGTTTCGACTCATAGAGACCCTGATAGGGTTTCTGAGGAGCAGCTGTGAGCTTGAACCACTTGCTATTCAAACCTACCTTGCAATCCAATGCATTAACCCACAGTGCCACACCAGGCGTCCTCTCCAATGTATCACGCACCAATTAAACTGGCCAACGAAGAGCTTGGTGGCTAGTGAGTACCAAGGGGAGAGAAGAGAGAAATCTACAAGAAGGAAGATGTGAAGTACCACAGAGCACGGAGTCGGCCACCTTTGATGGTTGAGGAAAGTGAACAGAAGCCAGCATTATCAGGGATAGCAAAAGCACAGAGGGGAAAACCACAACCTCTATCTGGGGGCCTCTAGGTACTTCTATAAGGGAGCCCTGGTGATGCAGTAACTAAATCACTCATCTGCTAAGTGATAGGTTGGTGGTTTGAACCCACCAGCTCCTCCCTAAGATGTGCAGTCTGCTTCTGTAAAGATTTATACCCTTGGGAACCCTATGGGGCAGTTATACTCAATGGAATCCTGGTGTGGCACTGTGGGTTAATGTGTCAGACTGCAAGGCCGTTTGAACTGCAGGGCCGGTGGTTCAAGCTCACCAGTTGTTCCTCAGAAACCCTATATAGGGTTGCTATGGGTTGGAACCGACTCGACGGCACTTAACAACAACAACAACATAGGGTCAGTAGGAGTTGGAATCAACTCAATGGCCGTGGGTTTAGACGCTTCTATTGGCTGCTAATCAAAAGGTTGGACATCGAAGTCCACCCAAGAATGCCTTGGCAGAAAGACCTGGGTAGTTCACTTCCAAAACAAAAATGATTGGAAATCCTATGGAGCACAAGTCTGCTGTGACATGTGGGGTTGCTATGAATCAGAGTAGACTCAAGCACAACTGGCTTTGGGGGCTTCTGTTTGACTGAAATACACTTTGGACAAAGTGGAGTCCCAGAAGGCAAAGCTGGGGAAAGGAAGGGGGTTCAGCACAAAACTAGCTGAGGTTATCGTCCGAGGATCTGTGCAGGTGGTGGTGGTTGGTGGTGGTCTCCTAGTGGGGTTGCCATGCTCAGGGTTCCAGGGGAGCAGGGTAACAGCTCCACAGTTTTGGAACATGGGGAGTAAGGGGTCTAGGGGGGCACGGGACCTTCTGCCCATTCTCTGATCTCTTTATCTCTCTCATAGGACCCACTACTTGCTCCTGGTGTTTGTGAAGGTCCCTATCCTGCTCATCTTGCTCGGAGCTGTCCTCTGGCTGAAGGGGCCTCAGAGGGTCCCTGAGGAGCAATGGGATATGACTGAGTATGCAGAGTTGTCCTTAGACCATATGGCCAAAGACACAGCTCTCTAGATGGAGGAATAGAGCCTTCTGACCCCGGGTCCTGTTTTCAGAGGAGACACTGGTGCCTGAGGAAGGAACTGCCCTGAGTCCTCAAATGTCATGGCCAAGGTTGAGGGCCTGGGCCTCCACCCTGACCTCATGGGCTGACCGGACACCCTCCCTGTGCTGCACAGGTCCAGACACAGCTGGGTTCCTCCTGAGATATCATCACTTCATGGAGTTCCATCACTTTATTTCCGCATCTTCCAGCAGCAAACACCCAACTCCACCGGTGTGGGTGGGCCTCCTGGTCATGACTATCGATAAATGTCCCTACTGCTGAGGCTGAAGCCAGCATGCAAAGAGAAGCTGCATTGTGTGTGAGAGTCTCAGAGATGGCGATCCACCAAGTGCTTGGTTTCTGACATTCCTGAGATGAGCTGATCACATCCTTTACTTAAGCTTGTCAAGGTGGGATTTGATGACTCATATCTCCAAGAGCCCTGACTGAAACACATCCTCCCCAAAAGGGTAATTTTGTGGGGATTTCTGGTTCTGGGACCTGAGCAGGTTAGATGTTCCCTCTATCTAGAAGGGACTCTTGCCCTGAGTCCACAGGACTGAGAGGAAACAAGAGTTCACCTGCTGGACCTAGCCCTCATGTTCAACTTCCTCCTTCCTCCTTCTCTGCCCTGTCTCACCAGACACCTTGCTCAGGCTGGGACGCCCTGGGACTGAACCTTGGAGATCTGGTCCTTCAGTCTTCTTCTCGATATGTTTCAGGCCATTCCCTGTGGGGAGATTCAACCTTCAAGAAATGACCTCAAGTTTGGGTGGGGGTTGTGTGGGAGAGAAAGTTGAAACTGTCTGAGGGGAATACTGTTGTCTATTTTAAAGAACGTTGTTTAAATCATGCTGTTGATTAGAACTGAACTATGCTAAGGGTGATGGAGATGTTGGAAACCGTGGTGATGATTATGCAACATGATGAATGTAATTAACATCACTGAATTGTAAATGTAAACAATGTTCCCATGGCAAATGTTTTGTTTTATGTACCTACTACAATTAAAAAAAACAAACAACAAGAAATGAGAAACATTCTGAGGGAAATAATGTCTCTTTCAAACACTTCATGTACAACACTGACACACTTGCATTTTTGTACTTTGTACCATATAGGTACTGTGTGGTGCTGTGGGTTAATGTGCCAGACTGTAAAGCAGTTTGAACTGCAAGGTTGGTGGTTCAAGCTCACCAGCTGCTCCTCGGAAACCCTATACAGGGTTGCTACAGGTCAGAGTGGACTCGACGGCACTTGACAACACCACCACCACCATATGGATCATGAGCACTCAGAGCAAAAGGAGATTTACTTCAAGAGAGAAGAGGCATTCAATTTGAGATGTGTTTCTGCGAGGCACACACTCTCTCTGCATGTGTCTTTCTCTCACACACACATACATGTACACACATATTTGCAATATTTCCCTTTGAACAATACCAATGTTGTACCCACCATGAACTCTGTTTTAATGAACAACACAATTTAAATCACATCCTTTTAAATTGTTAACGTTATTCTCCTTGGTTTTGACTTATAGTGACCCTATGTACAACAGAATGAAATACTGCCCAGTCCTGAGCCATTCTAACAATTGTTTGAGCCCATTGTTGCTGCCATGGTGTCAATCCAGCATGTTGGGAGTCTTCCTCTTTTTTTTTTTTCTGCTGACTCTCCATTTTTCCAAGCATGGTGCTCTCCTTTAGAGACTGATCCCTCCTAACAACATATCCAAAATGACAAGAGACGAAATCTTGTCACCATAGTTTTTAAGAAGTATTCTGACTGTATTTCTTCCAAGACAGATTTTTTTTTGTTCTGACAGCTTATGACGCTTTCGATATTCTTTACCAACACTGTAATTAAAATGCATTCACTCTTCAACTGTCTTCCTTATTCATTGTCTTAGTCTGGGTTCCTTATTCATTGTTCTTATTCTGTTCCTCATACGGGAAGTTTTTGGTGTGGCCCTGTAGGATAAGCACTGGACTACTAGCCATAAGGTGGCATTTCAAACCCTCCAGCTGCTCCTTGGAAACCCTATATAAGATCGCTATGAGTTGGAACTGACTTGATGGTTCTTAACAACAGCAAGTTGTTTATGGAATCCTGGTATAGTATTGTAGGATAAGCACTGGACTGCTAACTGCAATGTCAGTGGTTCATACCCACCAGCGGCTCCTTGCGAAACCTATATAGGGTTACTATAAGTTGGAACTGACTTGATAGCACTTAACAACAACAATATATATGTGTGTGTTTATGTATATCTATCTATCGATCTAGATATATAGATATCAAGCTGGATTCAGAAGAGGCCATGGAACGAGGGATATCATTGCTGA